ATTATTTAAATAAAATTAATAGTTAATATGTAAAATTTAATAATTAATAATTATTATTTATAATTTAAAATACTAAATTTATTTGATTAGAGTCAATAATTAATTTACTATATATAAACCCTTAAACCAATAATCTCATAAAAACTTTATAAAATTTCTAAATAAAAATTTATTAAGCGTGAATGATAACATAACAAATAGAATATGTTAGTAGAACCCGTGATTGTTGTGGATATGTTTATGATCTTCCACTAACATATTTCATTTGCCACATCACCATTCACATCTAATTAATCCTTATATAGAAATTTCATAAAGTTTTTAGTTTTTATTAAAAACTTTTAAATGTTTATAGCCTTAATAAGTAAAGAAAAAAAATTGATATCCTTAATTAAACAAAATAATAAAATTTATATTTTTATCTATACTCTTTCTCGTATGAAAGCAAAACCAATAGTAAAACTTGACATTTGAAAGGGTTACTCTCCAAATCTTGAAAAGGGAGTAACAAGACAATAAAATTTTAAAAATATCATTGAGAAACAACAATAACTTGATCATTATTTTAAATTATTAAAGATTGAGAATAAAAAGAGGTGATAAAAGAGAAAAATAATTTAATTTAGAAATGGACCATAGATCACGACTTAAGGATTCCAAAATGATTCATTTAAGTGGCAAATTGGAGTGTAGAATAGGGAATAGAAATACCTTTTGAGGAAGGCAAAACCAAACCAAACATAACAAAATGGATAATAAATGATCCTCTACCCATACTCACTACTTTAGAATCTCACCCAAAATGGTCCACACCCTTTTTCCGACATACAAATCAAATCCCTCCAACACAAAGAATAGAGACCAGGCATGCAGCCTTAATTTCCGCCGAATCATCTGAAAGCTACTACTGTACGAGCATTAATTACTTTCCCTCTTTCCCAAAGAATCTAGAACAAAAAATGACACGAAACCGAAATCTTTGGATTAGGTGTCCAATGGAGAGAAAGCGGTCCCTTCGTATCAATTGTGACATGTAACTTTGCAATCCTCTTTTAATCTGTTACGTGGCATCATATAATTAGAACTAGATAAAATTTTCTTTTTTTTATTAAAATTTATCCAAAGACAACTTTTACAAAAGCTGTCTACGACCTATATATAGACTAGCTATCTATTTCAGCATTCTGATTTGAGCCAATTAGCTTAGCAATATTGAATGTTGCATCATGGCATGTCTCACCCACATGGGTGACAATACGAATTCGAAGGCATATGCATCTAAAAGACCCAATAGAAAAATATCTTTGCATTTCGCCTACCACACAACAAAATTAGTTTAACATGATTTGATTACATATATGTGTTTCGGCTTTTCTTCATGTGTGTCTTGATGTTGAACCTTCAATGATAGAATCAACGTGGCAACTCTTAACACCATAAAATCATTTGCCAATAATATGTACTCAGTTCCTATTATTAGAACAATCATTATATACGACATAAATAGTTCTTAGTTTGATAGTTTATTTTTGGGTATGAACACTTTTTCACCATTCAAAATCTCTTTTTAATCTAATGACTAGTATTTTTTAATGTAATATAAATTATAAAAACACTTTTTTAATAATTATATATAGAACTAATTAAGCTTAAAAAAAATACCATGTACAACCTATTTTCATTTGCTAAACAAGACAACATAAAAAATTTTAGTACGGACTAGAGGTGAAAAGGAAAAGAAAATCGAATGACATGCCATTTGGGGAAAAAAAGTACTAGGAATATTATTTTGAAATTTTAAATTTTGATATAATTAATTTCAAAACAAATTTTTTAAGAATATTTGATAATAAATTGTACAATAATGACCTTAAGAATTTCTAAGTATATCATGAGGGATTTTTGAGTAACGACGTATTGTGTAGACCGTCGAGGGTCGATTATTTGGATTTAGAAGAAAGTTTCTTGAGAAACTCCTAATGGTTTGATTTGTCTCCTCAAAGAATTCGAGTACGGATTTACAAAACACTCAAGGTACGTAGCTGTTTATAATTACTCATGTTTGGGCAGGCTTATGCAACCCAAAACTAAAGGCCCATCATGGATTGGACAGGGCTCTGATAGAATATTTTGGTCTTGGACTTCCTGGTCAAGATCAAAGCAAGCCTAACCAACCGAAGAACACCATTCTTCCTCTATTTTTCTTTCAATAATCCTACAAGATGAGGACCCACTCATATTAAAATCTTATATATCATTTTATATAAAAAATTTAATAATTTATCTCTTTATTTTCAATAAGTTAAATTTATCACAATTTTTTAAATATAAGTAAATTTCAATAATTGAAAATAGAGAAATAAATAATTAAAATTTTATACTATTGTAATGTATAAAATTTGTGTTTAAATAAATCTCTATTCATGATATAGTTATAATATCACGTATCATGGTAAGTTTACAATTATGATAAGTAGTTGATTCTCTAATGATACGTTGTAATTATAAGTTTATAATTCTATTTAATATTGTAACTATATTATTATTATTACTTCTTTTTTTTTTAAGAAAAATGATTTAGTTAAATGACGGGCTACATAAATAAATAGCATAACATGGGTTAGCCAATAGCCGTCAGATGAAGCAACTTCTTCACTTTTTACCCCATTTCATCTTAGGCTATTGGTTTAGAATGAGTTGCTTGTGTAACAGATTTGGGGAAATTTAGCCTTCTATTTATATGAAGGAAAGCACTTTGTATACGCTTTTAGATGATGATGTATTTTAACCCGTGCAGAGTCGGCAAGTTTCTTCATAAATACACAGCCGGAAAAATGCCCAAAGCTTTTAAACACATCCCCTCCCTGCAATGTTGGGAAAAATATTTTGTATTTGACTGAACCTGATAAATGGTCTTCAAATGCAATGTTACCACTAGAATATTTGCTTCCAATTTGTGTGTAAAGAAGGCAGAATGCTTTCAATTCTCCATTGGAGTTGACCCCAGTACGCAGCAAAAGCCTTTTTGAAATCCGCCAGGGTACCATATATCGTATAGATTTGGAATTCCAAAAACTATGTCCAGTAGGAGTGTGTCACAGGGTTTTTCTATTATTCTCAGTATCTCATGACCAATAAATCACGCTTACATTACTGCCTGTCTCTTCAAATTAAGCAATATATTGGTGCATTGTGTTCTGAATAATAACCATAAGCTGAAGCAAAATCCATATGTATTAGTTGTTTAAAGAAAGAATATACAGCCAAGGCAGCGGTAACCATGATCATCAATTCATTGAAAAGTGTTCTTTAAATAAAATTTAACGCAGGGCTCTTGATGTCATAAAATATAATTAACCAATTCATCTCCACTTTGGCCTAATGCGTGCAGTTGTGATACTCTTCTGCCATAACATTTTATAGCCTAGGATGAGGAAGAGGGCGAGGAGCATCCCAGTCTGTCACAATGTGATTGCGAGTGATTTCTCTGAGTGAAGTGCAGCCACTCAGTGCCATTGTTAGCTCGAACTCTTCACGCAGCATTTGAAGTACTTTTCTCACTCCGGCCTCTCCTTCAGCAGCCAGTGAGAAGACCACAGGTCGTCCAATCTGAGATCATAATGTAAAAACAACTTATTATATAATTAAGAACAGAATAATGGTTTAACACATTCCCTTGATATGCCTTTAGGCAAATCTTTGTTTTGATTTTCACGAGAGTGACTTATGTACTTACAAATATACCGGAGGCTCCAAGTGCTAATGCTTTGAAGACATCTGTCCCACGCCTGACACCACCATCCAAGAAGACAGGCACTCGCCCTTGTGCAGCTTTGACAACCTGTACATTAAGGAATTTGTGAGCATCAATGGCTTTGGTGCATTTGGATGCATGAAAAATAAGAATGAAATGTTGACAAACCTCTTCTAGTGCCATGATAGTGGCAGGGACATAATCAAGTTGTCGAGCTCCATGATTGGAAACAATGATACCTGCTGCTCCAGCTTGTACTGCTAGCCTTGCTGCAACACCAGTATGCAAGAATTGTTCGAGCGTCAATATACCAAAATGATGAAGTGAAATACACAGGAGTTCAGTCTTTTAAATCGTTTACCATCCTCAGCAGTGAGAACACCCTTCACAAGAATTGGCAGTTTTGTAATGGTCTGAAGCCACTGCACATCCTATACGTATCCAACAAGAGATCATTTAAACTGTAGTCTGAGTTAAGCTAGATCATAACTTATAAAGGAACTCCTCCATTGAAGTGCATGTGTACCTTCCAGCTTAGGGAGCGATCAATTTGCCCGGCAACATATGAAGCAAGTCCGGAGTCGTTAGTCTGCATATATAGTCCCATAGAAGAAGTTCAGAGACTTAATAAATTGGCAGATTATTTAGCTATTTTCCATTAATAATTAACAGTTACAGTGGCAACTCACTCTGTCCATCTTGCCAAGGTCCAAACCTTCAAAGTTCTTCAATGTCAAGAACGGAGGTAAAGTAAATCTGCAACCAAACATAAGATGCTTGGGAGCTATAACTTCAGTCTCACAAATGAAGAACAAAAAGCATAATTAGGCGATTTCATTGCAAAACAAGAAATTTCTAGTGAATGAATGTTGAATGTTGTTAATAAGGGTTTGGTTTGAAGTTTCCACTTCCACCTGTTCTTGATGTCAGCTTCTCTGCGACCCAGCCTTGGGGTATCAACTGTGAGAGCAATGGCCATGAAACCTGCCCTTTCAGCTCTCCTAACAAGCTGGGCAACTACATGCCTATCCTTGTACACCTAAAGTTTAGACCATAAAATTGATCTCATAAGGCCCAAAACTTTAGCCTCTTATCCAGAAGGCTATCAACTGAGTGAATAAGGACACAAAAATATTATTCAAGCTTACATAGAGCTGGAAGAACCTAATGCCAGGTCCTGTGGAAGCAACCTCCTCAACACTAGAAGTAGCCCATGAGGATAATGTCTGAAACAATCATCAAGTGATTTATAAATGGCGTAAACATGCAATTGACTTCATTGAGCAAACCAATATATAGGAAAAAGGTCATATAGACCTACTAATTGAAAGATGTGTGCTCAGAAAGCCAAAACATATTTATTTTTCTGTTTTTATCTTAAAATCTTCTCAAATAGATCATATCAGTGTATTCAAAAGGAATATTATAGGAGAATGCCAAACCATAATTGTTCCAGCTGCTGATGCGGCTCTAGCTGTTGCATATTCCCCTACACAATCAAAGTATCTTATTATCATGGTGTCAATATCATTATTTCATGGAATTAGTAAGATTCAAGCTGATCTAAAACAATAAGCAGAAGAGACACAAAAACAATTACAGATTGAAAAACATGTTAAACATTGACACGATCTGATTTCTCTGTAAGTTCAATTTCTGTGAAGAAGCAATATGAATTGAAAGAGAAGCTGACAACATGGCAGTTCATGCAAGCACTTCAATAAGGGAAAACAGTCAGGGCAATCATTAGTGGTATATCTAGACACTCCCCCAAGCTTTTCTTTCTTTCTTTTTTTCTTTCTTTTTCATTTTTTCCCCGTTTAAAAAGATGAATGAAAACAGTGATCTTACCTAATTACTTGCCACAATCAACTAGAAAATTCAACTTTAGAGAGGATCATTTTAGGCTAGACAGTGATATACCTTCTGGATGAGCCATTTTCTGCATGGCTGTTGGTGCAATCATGATGGGCATTGATAACTTGAAACCCAAGACAGTGGTCGTCATGTCAATCCTGCTAACATCAATCAGAATACGGGGCCGGAACCTATACACCATCAAAAGAAAGGTTTTAGCAATGCTGGAAAATTTAATATCTAAACACGATATGAAATAGAGTGAATGTAGATTAACTGTTTACTGTGGAAATTGCAGTTAGATACAGAGATAGGATACTCACAGGATTCTTGAGAATGCATTTCTATTCTCAAGCAGAGTCCACTGGTCCTCTGCACCTGATGCATAATAGTCAAACACCATCTTTGGCAACTTCTGCTTTGCAATGGCCTCATACTCACTTACATTGGTTATCTCCATCTTTAAAGTGAAGTTTTAGTCTTCTGTTGGAGAAGAAAAGTAAGATGTTGGAAAAAAAAGTTCACTATTTACTCACACGAACAACAATTCTATTAGATGTTGATTGCTCGACTTATAAGCACACCATTCTTCTATACCATGACAGCCAGGTAATCAAGTGAAATTAGAAAGAAGAACACCACAAACCAACCAAAGTCCCGAAGGAGTTCATAATAACTCCATAAAGCAAAAGTTGTTACACTCGTAGGCAGACAAAGAAGCAAAGCAATGAAACATGAGAGTAATAGCTGATAGGAGACCAAATTCCAGGTAAACACATGGTTCTTAGTTTTCACCCTTGAATTCAGATTCTAGGAAGTATTGCAAAACAAAGAAAGCCTTATAAAATTCCATCTCTCTAATTAAAACATAAAGAGATAACATAACATGACCTTATTAGAATCTTATGAGTCATGACAAACTTGGAAAATCGATTTTGTAAAGGGAAGTAAGCTATAGGTTAACTAAAACTAGAGCAAAAAAGAAGCAGAACCTTAATTTCCAAGACTATGCAGCAGAGTTAATGCAATGGAACCAGCAGGAAAACAAGTTTAATAATAAAATGTACTATAAAAAGGTGATAATGGGCTTACATGTGGTTTTGAATGGAGACAAAACAAGTGGGGTTCAGACATAGAGCATAAGAGCCATACAAGAGAGAGGGAAATTACAAGTCAAGTGGATGAGCATTTGGAGGTCAGCATTTGATGAGACCAAATCCTATCAGGGAAATTGGGTGTCTCTCAATCCACATACCATTTTTGTGTTTCACAGCTTTTCCTCGAAGAAGAAGAAGGAATTGAAATGAAATATATATAATTAAGGGTTGTACGTCAAGAAAGAAACCCCTTTGAGAAAAGCAAGCAACAATTA